TTCAAATTTAGTGTTTATCTTCGTTAAGGCGCAGATACAGCGAACCGACAGACCGCCCATGCACTTCAGCGGCCGAGAATCCAAATGGAAGACTGCAGACCGACTTCCATTAATTCTTCAGTAATCTCAGTTTACATTCCAATTGAAGGATACACATTGTTTAAGTACCTGAAGCATGTGGCGAAGCTTCGCATCGTTTCGTACCAAATTTCTTCACAATATCTCGCTGTAAGTTAATATAAATAATGTTTAGTTTTTTGTTTCACACGTTAGTTCACGATATTGACAACCCTCCACCTGTCGTCACAACCATTTTGTATCTCAGCCTATACAAACGTATTATTCATATTGACTCAGAGATATTTTGTTAATAAATTTATGATGCACTACCTCTCTTCTTACCTGTGCAAAAAGCCTTGTCTTGTCTTTGTAAGTAAACGAAAAAGAAAAGTGGACTATATGGGATAAGTGGAGCTGATGACAGAAGGTGAAATAAGATTCTGCATTCTTTTAGTTCGCTTTGTACAGTCATCTTAATATCTTCTTGGACGCTAAATAACCCGTCTATGTTAAATTTTAGAAAATAGTATCTACCTTTACTTTCAGTTCTGCCTTTGCTATTTAAAATGTACATTGCTTAATAGTGTAAACAGTTATGGGCTCTGACATAACTCTGGGGCACGCGCAAAAGAAACAGACGCTTTACCAATTAATTATGTCGCCGAAAGCATGAAATATTATAATTAGTCTAACACGGACAAAAATATTTTCACATTTTAAACACCCAATACACGATTCCTTCTTGTTGCCTCGAAATCAAAGATGTATTCAAAAATAAATAAATACTGAATAAATAATAACCTGTAGGCCTACTTTCCAAGATGGCACAGCTGTAATGCTCAGATCATGGAATGTTAAAGAGTGTGCAGTCATACAAATTTCATATATGGCAGACACCCACAGAATATATTTCTCAATTAGAAAATAAGTAGGTCTGTTTGTCATCAATTTGCATCTGTGGGGTAAGTCATTATAATCACGATGATGAACATCCGAGCTTTATGACAACAATAAATAATTTCATCAGCTGTAGGCATGTGAAACTTTATCATTAGAGAGAACCTTTGTAGTGCTGTCAACACTAGACACGTGTGCTGGCTCAGCGTTTTGCAGGTAAACAATGCCTGATGAAGTTTAAATTTCTGTATTCATTTGTAAGCAGAATCGAGCAGAAAACATATTTGAAATGGAAAAGTTTTTTCCCATAATCTGAGGTCTGCGTGACTGTTGGAAAATTAAATTTTCCAACAACTTGCCTTGGAGGGAATTCGGTAGCAAAATCTGCCAAAGGATACACACACACGGCGAATAGAGTAAGGGAGACGGAAGTAGCAAATGAAATGGGACGGAGTAAAATTATTCCTACGGAAATGAGCCAAATAATAAGCCGGTGTTTACAGACAGACAGATGCAGACAGTATTGTGCTGTCACTTAAGCATTTCAGAGCGTTTTTATACCACTTTTATCCACCCAGTGCATATGTCTGTCTGTCTGTACGAATGTTTTGTTTTCAGTACCAAACATGGAATTTTGATTATTGGTGTTAAAACAAAATGCTGGCTGACGAGTGAATTTTATTTCAGTTCGTTTCAGGAAAAGATAAATCATACCTAACATTATACTGAAATTGTAAGACAGATTTTCTCTTCAACTGGTCAGAAAAAGAAACTGTACGTAATATGAAACACACAGGTGTCTTAAAGTTCCATAAATTTTGTTTGAAACATTAGCTAGTCGAAGTTAACGCGAAATATATTATTTGTGTTGATCAGTAATAAAATATGTTGCAATATTATTATCTCTGCAAATAAAACTGAAGGTTAAACATTTATAAAACTCATTTTAAAACTAAATTAAATGTGAAAACATCTTCACGACTACTGGAGTCAGATTTCTGTCAAACTCAGGAACTCAAATCCGACCGTCAGAATCCAGACTCCCTCCAGACGCAGACTCCGCCAGACCCCACCATAGGTGTCACCATATCATAGTTTGCATTATTTGCTACTTACAGACTAGAATCAAAGAGTTTAAAGAAAAAATACGTTTCACTCGTTCGTGATCACCTCATCAGCATGTGACGTACACTTAAGCTATACGTTTACACCCTGCGGTGGAAAACGATTTTACGTCTTATCACTCTACATTTTGTTGCTACGATAACACGAATAGCGTAATTTCTCAGATTTCGTAAGTCTGAACACAAAACATTTACTTTTCCGGATATGAGGACTGCGTTAACTTTCAAAGGCGTGGTCGTACAACATCGTACTCGTTCCCGATCACCGTTTCTGTTGGCCGAAAACGCTTTCGGAATTCTGTGTAAAGATTTTATTTCTATTTTTAACATATATTTTCTGTTGTTGAAAATCCACGAATAGTTAGATAAAACTGCTGATAATTGGTTTAACAGATTTTTGTTATTGATCTCAGACATCAAATAAATGTAGACCAGACTGACTAATGATTCCAAGTAAGATGTCGCGATATATTCAAGAAGGATCACACGCGATACTGCCCTATCTTATCTTTTATCACGAACTCACCACATTCGTATGCAGTTCCCAGGTGTGTTTTTAAAATTTAACATAGGTCATTTTATAAGGTACTAATGTAGTTCAGTAAATTAAAAGAGATTATGATAATTTATCAGAAATCCTTATTTATTCATACTCATTAAGTGTACACAAGTATTCAAATACAGCATTAGATACGGTCTTTTATAATTCACTGTCCAGTAAAATAACTGCACGAATAATATCAATTTTTTTTAATTAGTGCTAATAACACATTTAGACACGTTTATTAACCATAGGCCTACATAATACCTCTGCTTATGGGTGTTAAAGGGACGTCGTAATCATGCATAATTAATATTTGAAATTAATAATTGTGGGATGAGGTAATATGATGTAATTCAAATCGTCGGCAATTTCCTATCAATATTTATAACGGAAAGGTAATTTAATCATACCTACCAAGTGGCACGACAAAAAATTTATAGGCCCAGTTTTACTTAAATTGAGTCACTGAAGAGAAACGAATAAATCACTAACTGCAGTGTTTTTGTGGAAACCTTGGTTAACACCAAATATTCGACATGGCTGTCGTCCGTATTCCCAAGTTATACAGCGAAGTAGCGTTTTTTCCCCGACTTCTCTAAAATAGAGTGTAGATCTATGTAATACGATGTTAACTACAATTTATGGAATAGAGGCCAAAAAACCTTGACATACATTATGGAAAACTGTGCAGTTTCTGAGATAGAAGTGAATTATATATCAGTGGAAGAATAGCTGTTACGAGGTCAGTAATAAGACTGATGGGCAAACTAAAACTTTAATGCTGATTTACAAGGTTATTGGGCCTGTTTCTTTGTCTTCGACGTGTAGGGGTTGGGTGTACGAGGTGCGATCGGAACGTTTCCAGACTGCGCGTATATATATATATATATAAAAAACCCGTACACTTATCTCAGGTATTAAATTCATCCATCACCCTCGAAGTAGTTCCATTGGGAGTAAACACAACAATCCCAGCGCCGCTGCCAAGCCTGGAAGCATCCCTGGAAATCTTTCTTTGTCAGCCTGTCAAGCACCATCTGCGATTCTGCCTGAATCTCTTCTATCGTCTCAAATCTCCTTCCCTTTAGCTGAATTTTCATCTTTGGGAAGAGGAAGAAGTCACACGGAGCTTAGAAAGGAAGGTGGGGTCGGTTCTTGCAAGATCTTTAAACTCCTGACAAACGAGAAGTCGATTCTGCTTCTGGGCCTCAGACAGGATGCGTCGCATGTGG